GTGACTTTTCGCATTCAATGCCCACCGAGGATGGTCAATCGGCGGCTGACACGTGTCCAAAGTCATAACGACGCGACTGATGGACGTTTTGCTGACTCGTCAACCTGTTTGTAGCATACGGAGGAAGGAACCGGTAGTAGTTAATCACCTCTCGTCGTTTCTATAAATCTGCTCTCCGAAAAGTGAGGGGGCTATCTGTGTGTGGGTCAAACGGGGATAAAGTTACCCCCGATTTTCTAATAAAGGAATGAGAGGATAGAGCGACCCGATATGGCCTCGGGTAAAGCCGAGGGCTTCCACAGACCAGAGCTCGGGGAGGATAAATATTGTGCCCAGAACTGGACACGGCCAAGCATTAAGCTCGAGGAAAGTGAAGAACTGAGGCTAAGGGAAAGACGGTTAGACAGGAAAAAGGAGGGGCCGAAATATCCGCCCTCAACCGGATATTACGGTGCAAGTCTCGCCCGATATCAACTGCGTAACAACGTTTACCGGAAGAAAAAGATCTTTACCTTACTTAGGCTTGTACTAGGATTGAAACTCCACTACTATATAAAGGGTAGAACTTTTTTATTTTGAGGACCACTGTTGGAACGCATACCAAGGCAAAAAAGTTAATTTTTGTTCTCTAGCTATTGTTCAAAGTGTTCTTCAGCTATTTGTTTATTGAGTTGCAACCAAGCCCGTTCTGGGGGCTGGATCTGGACCAATTTCCAGCATCTATCATAAAGTTAGACTTAATCGCATTTGGTTTGATCATTTTGTTTTCCTTTAGCTCAATTATTTACTGTTCTTAGATCATTCGTGTTAAATTAATCACATATCCTTTAAACGGCATATAAATTCAATTGTTTCTCATTTTAAGGGGTAACCAGTATCCTAATTTAATTTGCAGTATTTGGTAATTGATTGTGATTTAATAAATCGTTAGAGCTATACTGCAGTACTACACTGGCTTAATTAGTACTATTGAGGTATTTCAAAGCTACAGAAAGTTACGGTTGGTGGTAATTTTCCTCATATCAAAAAGAAAAAAGAACACATTTTAAAATATAACTCAAAGTTCACTATTTAAATCTCAATAAGCAAAAGAAGAAAAATTATATTAGAATAGAGGGAATATTATGTAACTGTTTACCTCGAAATACGAATAACAATTAAACTTGTAAGGTGGTTATAAGGATGCGTGATCTGATTCAACGCCAATTGATAAATGACTAGATAAATAAATGAATTAAGTGTTTAAGATGAATCAAACCAGTGTAGTTGCAAGCTATCTTCCTTGATTGGAACAGGCTCGAGATCAAGCGTTAAGAATAATAAGAATAATAGTAAGTTATAAGCAAGTAAAAAAGAGCAGTGTATTGTTATTTCTTAGTCCGTCCCCCTTTACAAATGAACAGGATTCCTCTATATATAGTAGAGCAACCCTAATTAAGGTATCACTCTAATTTCGGAAGTAAAATCCATGATTGGTATCAATAACCGTCAGCGGTTCTGTCAGTTCCAAGATTCACGCCACGATCCTCGACCAATCACGGATATCTTGCTCCTTCCGTTAGGAATGTATCCCCGATATTACTCGAAGTCTATCTCTCCTGGCTTCGATCGATACCAACCTCGATCTCGAAAGAGACTTCGATCTCGAACTCGATGCCTTAGCTCTTCGATGCAACGTCCTTGTTTCGATCAAATAATGAAATCGGGTAGCCCGGATCTATACATGGGCCTGCTAGGATAACGGACCCCGAAGGAGTTCCCAGTTGATCATCCTCGACCCTAATCTTTGACTGATACCGATTATGTATGTCGGCCAAGTGACAGCCGGGTACTCGATTAAACTTTGCTTCAACTGCTGTGAAGCTATGGAACTCCGAGTGTTGAGACCTTGAGTGAAAGCTTGAACAACCCAGTCATCGGTGACCGGAGGCAAATCCATTCTCTCCGCTTGGAATCGAGATACGAATTCTCTGAGCATCTCGTTATTTTTCTGCCTTACCTCGAAAAGGTCCGACTTCCTTGTTGCAATTTTAATGGCTTCGGCGTGTGCCTTTACAAAAGAATCTGCAAGCATAGCAACCGAATCAATAGAATTAGGGGGCACGTTATGATACCATATTAATGCACCCTTTGATTGAGTCTCCCCGAATTTCTTCAGCAGTATAGACTCGATTTCGTCATCTTCCAAGTCGTTTCCCTTTATGGCGCACGTGTAAGAAGTAACGTGCTCATTTGGGTCAGAGGTTCCGTTGTATTTAGGTATATCGGGCATACAGAACTTCTTTGGGATGGGCTTCGAAACCGCACTCGGAGGGAACGATTTTTGTATGAACTTTTTGGAATCCTTTCCTTTTAAGATTGGTGGTGCCCTCGGTATTTGATCGACTCGGGAGTTGTAAGTTTCCACCTTCTTGTCGTTGGCCTCGATTTTCTTTTCTCTCGATTCTATTCTCTTAGTAAGCTCCTCGAGCATCCTCATTATAGCAGGATCGATTGTCAAAGTATTATTACCCGATCTCTCAGGCAGACCCTATTTGGTGCCCCGTGCTGATTTTGCAATTGGGCAATGGCATTTTGTTGGGCTTGTAGCATTTCAAATATTACTTGGAGACAGACTCCTTCATCTCCTCTGACCTGTGTACCTCGACCGCCAGTTCGACCCTCTCTGCGTACGCTTCCTTCGGGGTCTGCGCCTAAATCCGCGTTCAAAGCAACATGAGAACTTACATCAACCGGGTTGACGGGCGGTGCTCCTCCGAGGTCAGCCTATGGCACCTCGACTCCTGGGGCGATAACATTCTCGTTTTCTCCATGGAGTTCGAGGTCGTTGTCGCCGTGTGTAGATGCATTTTGTGAGTTTGACATGATTCAACCGGAAAACAAAATTCTTGACAAGAAACAAGTGTAAAATAGTGTGTTATACCAGAATTAGCACTAAATAGTCACTAGTATCCTTAGCCCCACGGTGGACGCCAAACTGTTTACCTCGAAATAGGAGTAACAATTAACCTTGTAATGTGGTTATAAGGATACGTGATCTGATTCAACACCAATTGATAGAATGATTAGATAAATAAATGAATTAAATGATTAAGATGAATCAAACCAGTGTAGTTGCAAGCTATCGTCCTTGATTGGAACAGGCTCGAGATCAAGAAAAACAATAAGAATAATAGTAAGTTATAAGCAAGTAAAAGAGCAGTGTATTGTTATTTCTTAGTCCGTCTCCCTTTACAAATGAACAGGATTCCTCTTTATATAGTAGAGGAATCCTAAATAAGGTATAACTCTAATTTCGGAAGTAAAATCCATGATTGGTATCAATAACCGTCAGCGGTTCTGTCGGTTCTGAGATTCACGCCACGATCCTCGACCAGTCACGGATATCTTTCTCCTTCCGTTACTAATCTATCTCCGATGTTACTCGAAGTTTATCTCTCCTGGCTTCGATCGATACCAACCTCGATCTCGAAAGAGACTTCGATCTCGAACTTGATGCTTTAGCTCTTCGATGCAACGTCCTTGTTTCGATCAAATAGTGAAATCGGGTAGCACTGATTTCTACCGTATAAAATAACCAATTTAAATAATATGATATTTTAAGGTTCATACTATTCTTGAAGTAGTGGCATAATGTGGCTACATTTCCATAGTCAATAGAGAAGGGCGTACGTAAATACCACTTTGTTATAAATCATAGTAGATCTTACTTGAATTGGTTATAAAATTAAGAAAGTCAAAATAGTGCAGATCTTAGTTATACTGGTCAGGAAAATGAGAGACAGAAATTACGAGAGATCAGTTGTATTAGTTATAAAAATGAGAAATAATGCACGTCCAAGTTGTATTGGTTATAAAAATGAGAAATACAAATTGGTGTAGATCTATTATACAATTAGAAATGATTTTTTTTCTTTCATAACATGGAGATACGGGATTGGGACGTGAAACATGTGGCTGTCTGGCTGAGGAGGACAACTCTATCACAACATCTAATGGTTGAGGAAAGAACTACACCAATGACTAAATAGTTGCCATACTGAAGACAATATAACACATTAACTCCCCAAAACAACCAAAATTAAATAAAATAACTGAGGCAGCTATTAAAACATAGAAGAAATTAGAGGTCATTAAGAAGCTAGATCCTGACTGGTCCTTCCATGATATTATGCATAGAAACTTAAAAAAGAAAATAAATAAAAAAAACTAACAAAATCAAGCACAATCTTGGAATGGTCCATATATATAAAAAAAAATGCAAGAAGTTGTATAGCTGAAACGTGAATTGTTTTGATTTGTTCTTTGGAATTTTCTACTCCATTAATTTTTCACATGGGGTGGCAGATTCAATTTTCCCTTAATTTTTTCCTTTTGTTTTCTAGATAAAAAATTTCTGGTTTACTTGCTAGATAAGTCTCTTTTTCTGTATACTGTGTTACGTGATTCAGTTATATATTTTTTCAGAATTTAAATCAATTACTTTTAAGTGTAAAATCAGACATTCATTTAATCATTTCTAAAATATACAAAATGGAATTACATAAAATGTAGTAAGCTTTAATTAATTGTTTAAATATTAAATTTTAATCAAATAAATAGCCAATAGATTAATTAACTGTTCAAATAAATATAAATATCCCTATGTTTATTCATCTTGCACTTCATTTACTTTACATTGAAGGTGTAAATATTTAAACTGAGTTCAATATAATATACTAATATACTCACACATACAAAAGGAATAGCAAATGGCAAAGACGAGTGGCAAAGAAAGGAAAAGGAAGGAGAAAATAACAGAAATGTACTGTAGTGAATTTTTTACAACACCAGTTCCTTGAAATCGTCTTTTTAATATAAGAAACGTTTATCTAAGTACATTTTGTTTAGTAAACAAATCCAAAATCAACCCTCCATGATCCGAGATTAAGACAATGTCAAATATATTCAATTTAAAAATATGCACTCCTCTAATCTTAGTTATTTCTCTATATAAATACTCTTCTCCTTCCCACAAATAAAGAACATCCTCTGGCAAAGCCAGAAAACGAAATGGAGTATCTAAGAAAGTCTTCTCTTTGGGCATTGCCAACATTTTTGCTTTGTGTTTTCATAGTTTTTACCAACAATATTAATGGCGTCAATGCTTCCCACAAAGTTTTTCCAGAGTTGCAATCTACTATCCCTATTGATGTAGAAAATGTCCACAGAACTGGTTACCATTTTCAACCACCTAAAAACTGGATCAACGGTACGTTTTCACACCTCCAACTTCTCCCTCTTCTCTGGTTTGAAGTATTCATAGAGTTTAAGTTATATATGCTGACAGAGTAAAAATTTCTTACGCTGTATTAATATAATTTAACTTGTGATAACCTGTTGGCTATCATTTTTACCGGCTTTCTAAATTCCAAAAAAAGTTTCTCATATAGATTTACCTGCTAGGTTTTTACCGTATAAGTGACCTAATTTCTTATAATTTTGTTAGTCTGCTTTTCTTGAAGCATTTTGTGTTGGTGATAGATCATTGCATTCTAATGACATGATTTTAGTTTTTGGCATAGTTGTGAATAGCTAGATTTTGTTTACTCTATTATAATTGGTCGTTGACCGGAAATATTCAGTTATTTTAGTTTCCTTTAGACTTCTTGACATTTTTATCTCCCAAGTTATTCTTCCTTTTTCTCTGATTTCCATAAAAGGAAAAAAGAGAGACAATGGCGTACCTTCTTGTTTTTTGGCAGTACTTTTGCTGTTAGGTTTGTCAATGATTTATTTCTTGTCTGTATAGGATATTTTTATATATATATTGGACAATAAAAGATTAAATATGGGAAAAAAGCTTCTGGTTGCAGGGGTGTTCATGGTTCGGTTTGGATCGGTTTTTCCCCAAAAAGAAACCAAACCAAGTAAGTCGGTTTTTCAAATATTAGAACCAAACCAAACCAATTAAATCGGTTTTTTCTCGATTCGGTTTATGTCGGATTTTGTCGGTTTTTCGGTTTTTTCGGTTATTTGTCGGTTTTTCTTAAATATAAGACATACACTACCAAACACATACTTCGGCGACCACATTTTCGACGTAACACTATCAAATCAATTTCCCTTTGAAAAATCTATTATTTACCAAGATATATTGATGATAATTGAATCAAATAGTGATAAATAATTTAAGGGCTCAATTAAAAATATATTATTTTTAACACAAAATGGATTCTTACACTTAACAAAAGAAAACTACCAATCAAACTAGAATGTAAAGGTAAAGAACTATACTAAAAGTGGCAAACTATTAACATTTACCATAAAAATTTTGAAACTTTGTATAAAAATATACATATATATAGGTGTAATAATAACTTTAAAATAGCTACTCCTATAGTCGGTTTGGTTCGGTTTTTTTCGATTTTTTTCTGATTAAAACCAAAATCAAACCAAATTTGATCGGTTTTTAAAATTCAAAACCAAAACCAAATCAAACAAAAAAGTATCGGTTTTTTTGGCCGGTTTGATTTTGTTTTCGGTTTGGTTCAATTTTTCGGGTTTTTATAAACACCCCTATCTGATTGAATATATTATCTAATCGTTCTAAATCAGGGACGGATCTGACTTGTTGGAACGGCCACCACACATTGTTATTTGTGGCAAGCAACTTCAGCGAGTAGCTAGCATTCACGTAAATGGATACTGTACGTAACTACTACATGTAATATAAATATATATAATATATTTCTTCACATATAGGAAACTATATATATAGAGACAGCTAGCTAGGGCAGAGCCAACTTGCATTGTGTGTGTGTTATGCAATAGATAATACAGTATATTAAAGCATACGATCAATTATTTAGTCAACCCTAACTTCCCACAAAGCTCCGGGGGTGGGGAGTGGGGAGTTGGGGATTTGGGGGGCGGCTCAACTACAATAGTGACCTAAAGTCAAAATTATTTACGAGGCCTTAAACTTTTGTTTTTCTTATTTTTTGGGATTCAAAGTTATTAATTAATATTTTATGATTAAATTCTTTCTAATAATCCTTTTTTTCTAAAAAATACTCTCTCATATTTATTAGTTTAGTTTTTTTTTATTATTTGTTAAAAAAAATCAGCGAGAGCACCTTTATGAGATTATATCAAAGTTTCAGTTGATCTCATTTGCTTTTTTGAGTTTTGATCAATTCATATTTTCTAGCTGATGCTCTATAAATTCTAGCTAGTGTATAACAAAAATTAATAAAATATATAGAAGATATCATGCTGAAAGATAATAAAATTTTATAACAATAGAATCTTATTCTAGAAGTTATAACTTAATATTCCCCGCATCTCAATTTATGTGACACTTTTTGTTTTCGAGATTCAAACTTCTTAATTTTGACTGTGCATTTAGATATAGAATCTTTGAATTTTTTAAAATAAAACTTACATACTTGAAAACTATATAAAAGTAATATAAGTCACAAAAATTAATTATTTAAAATATTTAAAACATATATAAATAAATATGATCAAAGTATAATTTATTTAACTCTCAAAATCCGAACATTGTCACATATATTGGGATGAAGGGAGTAATTGATATCAAGATGAATCAGCATTTTTCGTTTACTTCAATACTTTAAAACTTTCAAAAGAATGAAATAAAATGTGAAATGAAGCTATAAAATTAATTACTACATAAAAATTTTTGGGGGACCTCAAGAGCTGGGGCCTAAAGCAAATGCTTTATTTGCTTGGCCCTTCAGCCTCCCCTGGGTTTGGGGGGGGGGGGGGTGAACTCTAAAATGTACACAATTCAAAACACAAGTGGATTTAAAAAAAAGACGAAGGAAAAATGACATTGTATAGCCGTTCTTAAAATAATAGTCGAAAAAATATGTATTTTTTGTATATATATATACATTATGTATGTTATATAAAAATTATATATATTTTATATACTTTTTTAGCTACCAAGTACAAATAGTTTTAGAGCGGACTAAAAGTGAAGAAAGCCCTAAAAAGAACGATGACAATAACAAAGCCATTATAATGGTTATCATATCAATTTCTTTTATAAACTTGGTGAGGGGGGGACCAACTATTGCAAGTCCACCTATAAATTCATAAATTCAAATTCATAATATTCGTCAACTACTAAAATTTAAGGCCACACCCACTTCTAGCCCAAAGGAAATTTAAGAAAAGGGCTAATTAAAGAGAAAAATTATATTACTAATAAATGTAAAATAGGAAAGCAACTTGTTCACTAGGTTTTTACTGTCGTAAAAAAAGTCATAGATATGTACTAGTAAGTAGCAAGTTGCAATCGTTCCAAATGCCTTTGAGATTTAGTTGGAGCATTTTCCATTAAATTTTTAAACATGCATATATTATCTTAATTGCATTAAATTGTATTCTAATCAATATTTCCTTTTCATGGTCTTTAACGGATGCTTCAAACCAACAACAGATCCCAACGGTGAGCCCGGAAATTTCCTTTTTAACATTTTTTCTTAAATTACCATAAAATTTATTGATTTTTTATTTTTAACACCTTTTTCCTCTCTTCATATTTGTTGCAAAACAGGCCCAATGTACTATAATGGTATCTATCATCTATTCTACCAATACAACCCATATGGATCAGTTTGGGGAAACATTGTTTGGGCCCATTCAGTCTCAACGGACTTGATTAATTGGATCCCACTTGAGCCCGCAATCTACCCATCAAAAGTATTTGACAAATATGGTACATGGTCTGGATCAGCCACAATTTTGCCAGGCAACAAGCCCATTATTCTCTACACTGGAATTGTTGATTCCAACAAGACCCAAGTACAAAATTATGCAATCCCGGCCGACTTGTCCGACCCATTTCTCCGTAAATGGATCAAGCCCGATAACAATCCGTTAATCGTCGCCGATATTACCATCAACAAGACCCAATTTCGTGACCCAACAACAGCTTGGTTGGGCCAAGATGGTAATTGGAGAATCACAATAGGCAGTGTGTGGGAAAATAAGGGAATAGCATTATTATACAAAAGTAAGGATTTCATGAGGTGGACTAAGGTCAAAAGTCTACTTCATTCGGCTAATAACACTGGAAATTGGGAATGTCCTGATTTTTTTCCAGTGTTATTGCATGGTACTAATGGTTTGGATGCTTCATACAATGGCAAAAATATTAAGCATGTTCTTAAGGTTAGCCTTGATGTTACGAGGTTTGAGTACTACACAATTGGTACTTATGACACCAAAAAAGATAGGTACGTTCCGGACAACACTTCTGTCGATGGGTGGAAGGGATTGAGACTTGACTATGGAAATTATTACGCGTCCAAGTCATTTTATGACCCTAGCAAGAATCGAAGAGTTATATGGGGTTGGGCTAACGAATCAGATACTGTTGATGACGATGTCAAAAAGGGATGGGCTGGAATCCAAACTATCCCTCGCAAACTATGGCTTGATCCAAATGGAATACAATTGGTCCAATGGCCTGTTGAAGAATTAAACACTCTAAGAGAAAAAAAGGTCCAACTAAAAAATCACAAGTTGAAAAAGGGAGAAATGATTCAAGTTAAAGGGATCACACCTGCACAGGTTTGGATTTTCGTCTTTTATTCCCTTAGTATTGGGTGAAATTTAAAACAGTCACATTTATAACTGGTAATTGAAATAGCCACGGTTTCAAAAGTAATTAAAATTAATATGCTAGAAGATTATACGGATGAGCTCCATAATCCCGCATATTATGTAGAACTTTTCGTGTTTAAGCAAAACAGTGGTTATTTTTTAATGACTTTGCAAATGCTGGCTATTTTTCTATTACTAATCCGAAAAATTGCTAGTCCATGCTATTTTTGACCCTAGTATTAGATTATTTTATAACAAAACAAGATGAGTCTGAATTAATTAAGGTGTAAACGAGAATTGCAGGCTGATGTTGAAGTGACTTTCTCCTTCTCAAGTTTGGATAAAGCAGAGCCATTTGATCCAAGCTGGACTGACCTTTACGCTCAAGATGTATGTGCTATTAAAGATTCGACAGTGCAAGGTGGAGTTGGGCCATTTGGGCTCCTAACTTTGGCTTCTGAAAAATTGGAAGAATATACGCCTGTATTTTTCAGAGTTTTCAAGGCCCAAGATAAATATAAAGTTCTCATGTGTTCTGATGCTTCAAGGTAATTTGTTATCAACAATTTTATTGAGTAGAAATGACACCAGGTAGCCACTTTAATGGTTGATATTTAAGAATTAGTCAGTACGTTCTGAAATTCAATTTTTCAGTTTAAATTTTTGGGATAAAAATATCCTGAATTATCCTGAAGTTAATATATTTAGTTTGAAATTCTAGGACAAAATAAGTACTGGCTAATCTCTAAATAGCATCCCTGAGAATGACTATTTGTGCACCTTCCTATTATGGGCTAATTATTCAACTTTGATCTATTAACCAATTTGTTATTTTCCTTTTGTATGACCAGATCAACACTTGAGAATGACAAGACAATGTACAAACCATCATTTGCGGGATATGTAGATGTAGATTTGACAAAAAACAAGAAATTGTCTCTGAGGAGTTTGGTAAGCTTTCTTCATTTATTTCCCTAAAAAATATTTCAATTCTCTCATATTGTTGTTTATTTAAGCACTCATTTGTTTTGTGACTAGTCCATATTTTTGATTTTTTGCAATATATTTTTCTGCAGATTGATCACTCAGTAGTGGAAAGTTTTGGTGCCGGAGGAAAAACATGTATTACATCAAGAGTTTATCCAACATTAGCAATATATGATAATGCACGTTTATTTGCCTTTAACAATGGGACAGAGAACATCAAAATTGAACTGAATGCATGGAGCATGGGTAAACCTAAGATGGACTGGTCATTTGGTCACTCTTCTTATTGAAGCTAATACTTGTATTTAGTTCCACATTAATGTTGGCGTATTTGTCTGTTCTTTTTGGTTTGAAACATCGGAGACTTACTATTTTTTTTCATGTCAAGTTCTGGAAAATGTTGTAGTGTAGTCTCTACTTCTATCCTTATTCTGACAGTAGACAGACAATGTTCTTAAAGTTTGTGAATGTGTAAGAATTCGGGTTTTTTTTTTGCCGTTAAAAAGAATTTAGCAAGGGAATATGGTTCTTTATCAGATTTGAAACATTCAATTCAAGATTTCAATGGTGGCATAGACGTAATATCCTACCTTAACATCACAGGCTATTTATCTATGCAGCAACAATAATAACAACAACCTAGCAGAATCCTACTAGTGGGGGTCTGGGGAGGGTAGAGTCTACGCAGACCTTACCCCTACCTCGGAGAGATAGAGAGGTTGTTTTCGGAAGTTCCTTGGCTCAGGGATAATAGATCCGTGATAACAACTGTGAACAACTAATTTTTGACCACACCCAAATTATATATTATTTTAGTGTAAATACATTTTTTAAGGTCTAATCTTAATATTTTTAAAACTTTTATCTTACTCTTAATAGGTTTTATTTAGAAAATTAAAAAAATAAATAAATACTAACTACATATTCACATTCTTGGAGTATAAGTTTTATTCCTATTTTTAAATAGAAGAAATTTTTGTTTAAAAAAAATGTTTTCTTCTAATTAGTAGAATTTTAAATGTAAGCTATAGTATTTTTCTTAGTATAATTTAAACTATAGTATAAGTATTGGGTTTTCTTACTTATATAGTTTTTTTTAAGGTCTAAAAGTAAGCGGTTAGTGTGTGTGTATATATATATATTTCCTTCATTTTTATTTAATAAAAGGAGTTATTAAAAAGTCAAAAAAATATAATAATAATAATAATACTACCTACGGTCCAAAATAAGTGATTTTTTGGCCTTTTTCTTGTGGTCCAAAATAAGTGATTTTTCCAGATTTCAAGAATGAATTAATTATTTTTTTCCTACATTATCCTTGGAGTAAATAGTGTTGGAATATGTGTTAGGAGTGTTTATGTGAGATAGTAAAGGTTAATATGGTCAATTCCATTGCTAATTAATGCTAAAAGGTGAATTTCTTAATCTGTGTGAAAACATCCAAAAAATCACTTATTTTGAACCGGAGGGAGTAAAAAAGTAACACCCCTATTACACCATGTTTCCCTCAAACCCCTCACTTCTCACCAATGTTTTAAAAGGCGGGGGCGTGAGGCGAGGCGTTTTACCTCTGACGAGGCGAGGCGTAAGCCCTGAGACATGGGGCGTAAGTCCCACAGATCTTTAAATTTTACTAACTTCAAGAATTTAGGATAGCATAAAATGAAAATTAATTATAAAAATTACATTAAAATCACTAAATTATAACAAATAATATATTTAAAATATTAATAAATTATAATTCAACTATCAATAATACGAAAAGTATGACATATATCATAATGTGCAAATAGTTGCAATGTCGTTACAACTCAAGCATCAAAAGTAATTTATTCGATACGAATCTTATATGTATCTCTTAAGGAGTAATGAATTTTGAAAGAATTTCGATATTATAATTTGATATTTTTATTAAAACACTCCTTTTATTTAATATGCTTTCTATTTGAAAGAGAATTTATATAAAAATATAATTCACAATTCAAATATGATTCTCAAGCATCATTCATTTTTAAGTTTCAACAAGTTAATAAAGTGACACATAATTCACCATACAATACCATGATAACTAATTATTTGTACATAGTTACTAGCTAATATTGAGCTATTAAATTAATAAATATTGTATCTCGTAAACGTGAAAAGAAAAATAATTATAAAAAAAATTATGGACTACTCCATTATATAGTAAAGACATAATAATAGTTAATAAATAAATACTTTTAAATGAAAGATTTATTTAAAATTAACTATCATAGCAGTCTTAGTGGATAACGTGCAATAATTTTTATTTTAATTATGACAATACTCTCAACTTAATAATTTATACTTAGGAAAAAAATAATTTTGAGTAGTCAACGATTTATTAAGAAAATTGAAGATTTACAAGGTTAATTACATACAATTGCATAAAGTTCTATTAGGCGAGCCCAGTACGCTGGGGGTTGGACGTGTCCGAAGCGTAAGCCCCGATGGCCGAGGCGTAAGTCTCACAGAACTAAGCCCCAGACATAAGTCCAGGGGCATTTTACGAGTGCTCCGCCTCGGGACGAGCCCCGGGCGAATCCCAATTCTGTCTTTTAAAACAGAGCTTCTTACCCACTTTCCCACCTTTTACGTCATTCACACACGATCACCTACGCTCACATCTGAACAACTACATTCATCTTCTTCTATAAAAACACACACAAGAGAAAACGGCAAAGAGGACCTTCTAAATCTCAAAAAAAAAAAGGACTTTTCCTACAGTTCTTGTCATCAACACTTCCCTCCTTTGAAATCAGCCCGATCTTCATTATCTCAAGCTCCACGCCTAATTACTTAAGCTACATCCACACACACAAATACAAAGAGAAGACCAAAAACAGGGAGCACAAAAATTGGGGGGAAAACGCTCAGCAAAGAGGAGTTTGGGGTCGGCGTCGAACTTCTCTGCTCGGGTCTCCGTCGTGGTCCTGTTTACCAGTCATTGGGTCTTTTTCCGTCGTTGCTTTCCTCCGATTGTTGAATTTTTCTTTTTCTGGGAGATTATACATTAATTCAACTTATTTGTTCAAAAAAATTTTTTGCAAAGAAGGTGCGTTTCTTCATTTTTCTTTTACTGTGTTTGCCTAAGTTTCATGTTTGTAAATATTGGTATGTTTATGTTTCTGCATTTGATTTAATTTTTTTTCTTTCTTTCTTGTTATCTAATCCTAAGTCTACTAAGATTAACTTGTGTATTTGAGTTATTGCTTGTCTTCTTATGTTTTGAACTTAACAAACAGATTTGATAAAATTGGTCACAGATTTAAATACTCAGTATAGCTAAGCTAAGAAAAGTATACTTTGATCTAGAGTAACCCATGTAAAAGTGAGACATTCAAATCAGTTCACTTCACACTAACAAAGTAGGCTAACAGGTTAAGCAAAATTCAGTGGCCATTTTTGTTAATTTGAGTTCAACCTCCTTTGTAAGACAATACAGAATTAAATTTTGTGTCAAGAGTTGGTTTGACAATTAAAGGTCGTATAAGATTAACCTATATTTTAGGTTTATCTATTGAATTAATTATAACCCGTGTTTAGCCGTTTGAATCCAATTAAGTAAGGAATAGTGTTAAATATAGCGTAAAGCGCCAGCATCTCTACTATATTATCTTAGCTATGTTAATGAAATTTGGCATAAGTTGATTAGTTTTTTTTGTGACAATTGTTTGCCATCCTAATTCCCATAAATCCTGACTTCGCAAGCATTCTCAGAACCTTAGGAAATTAATTTAACTTGTGAATATTCGTAGGATGCTTTAAGAGCGTTCTAATTTATTATTGTGATTGTGTACACGTTCGAGTGATATAATTACGATTTTTAATATTAAAATCAGGGTATGCGTTCGTGCAACTTCGGGCGAAACAATCTTAATAATTAATAAAGCGTGATTAATAGTGTACACGTACGCGTGGCTCATTTCAACATAATTCTATAATTACAAATAATCAAGCAATTAAAAGCGGTTTGAGGAAAAATTGCATAAATTTCTCTAGAACATAAAATATCCAGAATTAGTCAAGCCAGGTATAATTATTAAAGCGACCGTGCTAGAACCACGGAACTCGGGAGTGCCTCACATCTTCTCCCGGGTTAACAGAATTCCTTACCTGGTCTTCTGTGTTTCGTAGACTTAATCAAAGTCAATTTCCTTGAATTGGGATTTTAAAAGGGTGACTTGGGACACCGTAAATATTTATTCCAAGTGGCGACTCTTAAATACAAATGAAATAATCCCTTTTCAAATAATGTCACTTAAATTGGAAAAAACTACTTTCTTTCCTATCTCCTCGGGAAAAAGGAGGTGTGACAACAACAGAAACTAGAAAAATAGTATCAGCATCGTAAGAGACAACAAATAAATGGAAAGGCAATAATAACAATAATAATAATAAATGAATAACTGTGAAACACAACAAAAAACGTAGCAGTCCTAGACAAAACACTATCACACTAGCTGGGACAATGAAGAAAAACGCTTGACTATCCCCTAACCTACAACCCTATTGCTCGATCTCTACACCTTCCTATCAAATTCCATGTCCTCGAAAATCTGAAGTAGCGTCATGTCCTGCCGGATCACCTCTCTCCAATACTTCTTAGACCGCCCTCTACCTCTTCTCCACCTACCAGAGCCAACCGCTCACACCTCTTGTAAATGCCTAATTTCTGCTCTTTTCCTTTTCTTTTTTCTTTTGTTTATTATGTGTATGTGTATGTGTATGTGTAATTTTTAGGAATTGACTATAGTTTAATTAAAAGGGGATAAGGGATTGGGCTAGCCATTTTAAAGACAAAATCGGCCCGATTTGGACCAAAATTGGCGGCACAGGACTCGGTCCAGGTTATATGGTATGAGAGATGCCTCAAACTACGTCGTTTTGATAAGTGAGGTGAGATTAAATCTCATCCGTTCATATCATTTTGATCTAAGGGTTCTAATTCACTCTGCACTCTGTATATAAGGCCTCAAGATCAGAAATTGGCCCCCATTTTTCCCTATTCTCTTTCATTCTTTCTTTCTCCTCCCTCTCTTCTCTCTTTATTCCCTCTCCCCCGCTCCGCCCGCTGCCGCCGACCGAAATTCGCCACATGCGGTGGAGCACCTCCAAACACCCCCAAATCATCACCATACACTCCCCTCAACCTCCTCTTTCCGAATCTCCAACCCAAACCCCTGAAAACCTGCTCAAATTCCACGATTTTTAGATCTAAGAAACCCCACAACCTATTTTTTTTTTCTTAAAATCATGAAAATTGAGCCATCTCCTCTACCTAATACCTATATGGATGGATAGAGCTCGGTGTGGGCTACCAACTAACTTGGTCTCGACCCGAAATTCCGGCGACTAGATTCCGGCAGGTCGCCGACAACCACAAAAAATGGTGAATCTCTTTGTTTTTGTCTATATTCTTACCTAGAGCGAGATTTTATTGTTTGATTACATTGAAAATGAACCGGAGTTTAAATGTTTCGGTGTTTATCAACAATAAGAGCTTGCGCGGGAT